TGGTGCCGGGGAGGAGAGGGGAAGGGAAGGGAGGGAGCTGCCGGGTGCGGGGAGGAGGCGGGCCGGCCTGTGCTCTGTGGGGCCCCGGAGGCTCACTCTGTGTCGTTGCCCTTTCTTCACGCGTGGGCTTGGGGAGCAGCTCCGTGGCGGAGCAGCAGCTCTCCCTGCCGTCCCTTCAGGCCGCCCATGTTGAAGGCTGGTTGGCAGTGCCGTCTGCTCACTGGGTCCGCCCCGCTGCTGTCCTGCGCGGGTGGCTGACCTGCTCTCTGGGAACTCGCCTCCAGAGCTTCTGGAGAAGCTCCTCCTCTTAGCGGCAGACTTGGTGTAGAGGTTGGCACAGCTGTTGCGAGATGTCGCGATATTACCCCGGGGGAAGGCGGGGGGGGCGGTCTAAGGCCAGAGTTGCATAGCTGTAACTGCTTTAATACTTGACGCTTGTATGACTAAGTGTTGAAGGATGTTTGTCTCTCTTAGTCTGGTATGTTTGCTGGTACAATAATCCGTGTCTCTGGAGCAGACGGTAAGGTAATTGCCACCCTTTTTTTTCTGCAAACTTCTCATAAAAGTGAGATGCGAATAATCCTGTTGAAATCTGCTGCGGCTCTGTAGTGAGAAAACAAGAGTATTTTTTTCTCTATGCAGTTAAAATTTATTTTTTATACCAGATGGAAATAGGAGCTTGAAGTAAATAATAACTGCAACACTGTTTTTCTTAGGATTTGAAGATGTCTAAAAAGAAACTGAAGAAATTAACTGAAAAGGAAGACTGTTTGGATGGCCAGGATGACAAAGTAGGAACAGCTTTATTATTACTATTATCATTATTTTAATTCAAACCCCCACATTCAAGAGAAGAGCATGAGAATTGTTTAGCAGTCTTGTGATGGAAGGGTGAATCAGATTTAAAGGTGGGGTTATTAAGAAGACCAGGAGAGTTGACTTGGTCAGATAACTGCAAGTTCTAGCCAGATAACTAGACTAGACTGTTTTTCTCCAGAGGCTATGAGTAGTGTGGGTGTCAGAAAAAAAGAGGGTTTTTTATTTTAGCATATCTTCTTGGTTGAGGAAAGTTGAGCTTAAAACTGTTACCAAAACCACTACTGTTTTCCTGGATTGTTCTTTATCTTGGATCATATATCTTAATTTTCCGATTAATCACAAGTTGTACTTTGCAGAATTTTAGCAAGCAACTCTCAAATATTGCCTTTTAAGCACTGAGACATGAATCAATGACCAAAATTCTTAGTATACTGTGGTACATGTTTGTATCTAGTGAGTAAGCTTTCACTGAATTGCTTGTAAAATGCAGGTGCTACAGGGGTCTTAATCTTTCTGGTCACACTTGTATGTAGCTTTCCATTCTTTTTTCTTGTTTGTACACCCTTCTGGGAAGTTATTTCCTGCTGGTAGTGTTATACATATCCAATAAATCAGAAGTTTAATAAATCCACACTTAAGTTTGCTGGATTTTTTTCCCCTTGGATTTTGTAAGGTATATATATGAAATAAGAGAGCTTTTAACTGTCTTATCATAAATGTGTCAAATGTTTGGAAGCGTTTATAAATGAGCATGGTATGGCCTTATAAATGGAGTTATACATATTAGAAGCCTTTTGCTCATGTAGAAAATGTAGTTCAAAGCCAAATAATTGTAACCTTTTTTTTTTCTTCTGAATTCCTTATTGTTACTCAATTTGTCTTTTAACCTTAACTTATCCTAAGGTGGCTTGTTTGTTGTTGTTTTTTAACTTCTGTAAACCAATTTTTTACCCTTTGTATTAAAACCTCATACTATAGCTGTATTGCCATTGCTAATGCCTATACCAATTTGAAGAATACAGAATTTTAACTGTTGCATGACTTCAATCTATTTGGGACAGCATTAAATGTTGCTATATGCAGCCATTGACCAACGCAAGCAACAAGTGAGAACCCAAACTAATAATAGCAAAAAATATCAATTCCTTCCGCTCAATAATAGCAGGTGTTTCTTCAGGGTGATCACAGTATGGATAAGAGGTATCTTTGGCTCTTACAGGTGAGAGTAAGCCATTTAAGTAGAGTTCTATTTAGGTGCAGTTGTGCAGGGGCTTTGGGGTTTCTCTTGTGTAAGCATGACCACGGATTACAGAAAACTTTATGTCTGTTGGCTTGTAGCAGTTTGGCATATAATTCTGTACATATGAGTGAAAGGACATTTGTCACAGTATAAATTTGAACAGCTTTACACAGAGCTCTCTGGAGGAGTCAGCACAGCTGCCTCATGGTAACGTGTCCTGGGTAACACCAGGTGATATGATAGCCATGGGATTGTAAACACCTACACCAGTCTCCTCCAAAGAGGACATTTACCCCAAACTGATAATGCTAAGAGGAAAGTAACAGTAAGAAAGTTTACCTAAGATGACCAAACTTAGTGAAAGTCAGGGAATTGTCAAGAGACTTTTGAGAAAAGAAGGAGCTAGGTTGAAAAGAAATGCTAAAAACATCATGAAGACTCATGGTTCTAGGGGAACAGGCCAAAGCAGAACTGGCTTGATGCTGCCAGAAGTGGTCCCACCAGCATCACGACCTCCACCCACGCCGATGGAGCACCCTCGCTGCCGGGTACTGTTGGTAGCCTGCGTTCCAGCTGGTGGAGTGGCAGTGCAGGGGGGCACCCCGCAGGGTCCCACACCTTGGGGGTGTGTACGTGACCCCACGGGGGGCCTTTCTCACCAGGGGGTGTGTTAGCAGGTTGTAGGAGGTGGTACGGGGGGGCCCACCTCTTAGCAGCATCAGCGTGTGTTCCAAAGTGTATCGTGCAGGTGTGTGAGCTCAAAACTTTCTGGTACCAAGTCATCTGGTTGGTATAATTTCGTGATTGTCTTATTATTATAGTTTTTCTGCTGTATTGCTAGTATTGATCCTGAGTGTCTAGTTCACTGGTTGCCGGTTCATTGAGTCGTTAATAAACCAATAAAACGCTTTGATTCCTATTTGATTATCGTCATGGGAGTTGAACAGGTCTTCCTGCGGCAGGTTGCACCGATATGATTCTCAATGGCAGCAGCTGTTAGCAGCCTCCTAAGTTACGGTGTCATTTTTGCTGCTGTTACAAGTCCAGAACCAACCACAATCAATGAAGTTCTCAAGATTTCCTTAATTCCTTAGGACTCTGCTGGTTTCTGCAACCTTTTTATTTTTTAATGACGTGCCTTCTGATGTGGAAGTATAGCTAAGGCCTCATAGGCCTTTGCAGGCCTCTCTAGTTAGGTGAATCTCTGCAGCAGTGACCTACTGGCCTCGCTGAGTCAGCAAGACCCAGTTATTGAAGGAGTTAATTATTTGTAAAAGGTTGTACTGTCTGGAGCTTCCTTATCTGAAGTAATCCGTATGTTACCATTCTCTGTTGTAGGTTCCTACACCCTGCTGTAGTTTTGGGAAAAGAGAGTTGTATAACCCAAAGGTGTATGAAGATTAACTGCCTTGTTGGGCAGAGTTCATACCAGCAGTCTGTCATTTTGCTGCTCTCTGTTCTCTCCTATAGCTGCAATATTTCTGTTCTGACCTGATCAAAGTCGCCTTCCAGTTATTCCGCAACATGAATGTGACACAGCTTGCAATATAGATATGCCAAGCAGCGATATAACTGCTTTCTAAACAAGGACTGTTCAGGTTCTTTGTATGGGGACTATCTTTACTCTTATCCAGGCCTATGTAACTGCAGTTTCACACTAATTAGTAAATCCGATGAGAATTAACAACACATCTCTTGAGGGAGTAATTGGAAGCAGTCTTCAGGTAACTTTCTTTTCCCTAAGAATTTTTATAAATATACAAAAATCTGTATTTTACATACTGGTCTACTTGTAGACTATATGAAACACATGCATCCTAACTATGTTTAATTAGTTGAGCTTTCTCTATTTTATAACCCAGGACTGTGCCAGATTCGATTTTTCCCCTTGTGTTGTTCTTAAGTATAACAAAATCTAAATAAAATTACAGCAAGGTATGTGGCTACCTTTTTCAAGGTTATTTTATTCAAAATCATAGTGTGAAATAATAGCTTGTTCCATCTTATGAAGATTTCTTTTTTAAACTGCCATTTCCTCTATTAACCCTTGTTTTTTTTTTCCTTTCAGAACTCTGATGACACAAGATCTTGTAACTGTACTATGAAAGGAGAGACAGAATTTCAGAGGTAAATTCTTGCTCTGTTATTAAATGGAACTACAAAAGAAAAAAAGTCTGTGATTGTTTTAAATCCTGAATTTAGGAATTTTGTTTGACTTGTTCACCGAAGAAAATATGGTATTTTAACTGATGAAGTCTTGACTTGCATTAATGAGCGGATCCTGTCTAAGCTAGGCAGTTTGAGGTAGTTGAGAAGATAGCGTTCAGAAAAAAATTTTAACTCTCTGATAAGATGAAACTAGACTGTAGTAGGGCATCTCTCAAACCAATAGATAGTGAATGCAGAAAAAGTTTTTTCTCAACTTTGTAAGCTAAAATAGCTGTGCAGCTAGTAAAAATGTAAATATTAAAAATGCTGTATCAAACTATTTTAAAGGACAGATGTTGCTGCAAGTTCATATTTAAGAACATACCAGATGGGTACTCATAAATACTTAGGTGTAACTGCCTAAATCAAATGCAGGCTTTTTTGTTGTTTTTTTTCTTGTTTTGGTTTTCTGCATTAACTGAGCTAGATTACATGACTTTTTTGTAATGTTTCTATAGGTTCAAAAGAGAGAAAGATGGGCAAGAGAAGAAGCGAGGCCAAAGTTCCAATATTTCTCATGGTGCTGATGGAAGATCCCAAGGAAAATCTCCAAACAGAAGCAAAACCACAGCCAATTCTTTAATCCAAACTGAAAAGCAAAAGAGAATAGTTATCCAATTTAAAGCCAAAGAAATTAAACATGGAAAAAGTACACGCACTCCTGATGTAGTGACTACTATCAGAGAAAGTCATAACAAAAGTCTTTTTGATGGAACAGAAGGAAAAAGACTCTGGCATAGCTTTGCAGTTCAGAGGGACAAGGCACTGAAGAAAAAGACAGAGAAAGTTGAGCTCTGCAAACTAAAGTTAAAAGCGGAACAAACTATGTTGGAAAAATTTAAGTCACCTGCGTACGATTCATGTGTACCACGTAAAAAGGCAGATGGATCAAAAAAATGGAGTGAAGATGTCAGAATTCCAAAAAAGCCATCTGACACCTCCACAAGGACTGTGGATGATGATAGGCCTTTCACGAAGAAGTCAAATAAGTTGTCTAGGACATGGGAAGAAGAGTACGAAGAAGAGTATAAGGAGTTTTCTAAGAAAAAACGGCATGTGAATAAACGTTCACCATCACGCTATTCAACTGAAACACCACAACGGTGGAGCTTTTGTAAACGGGAAAAACAGGATGCTGATTCTGATAACACTGCTGGTAATTCAGGGACTGAAGAAAGGGACTTTGAAGCCACAGCATTATGTTTTAAGCAGGTAAGGAGAACCCAATTCTTTGTATTGTGCAGGTAGATGTTTTCGGGCTAGTTTCTGAATGGCAGGCAGGTTTTGTATAAGCAGGCTGTCTTACAGATTTCAAACAGGATTTCATAGCTAACTAGATAGATTTTTCTGATCCAAATGTAAACCATAGAATCTTTGGGTTGGAAGGGGCCTTCTAAGGTCATCTAGTCCAACCCCCCTGCAATGAGCAGGAACATCATCAACTAGATCAGGTTGCTCAGAGCCCCATCCAACCTGACCATGTTAAAATGTTTCTCTGTTCTGCTAAATGGTTAAACAAACTAGAAAAATAAAGGTGTTGCATAATAGGACTGTGTCTGCACATATGCTTTTATAGCTTTACTTTGCTGCTGGGGGTGTGGAATACTTCAACTTAGGTGTAAGTCAACAGAATTTTTTTTGAGGTGACACAGTTGTATCATTTCTTGAATGAATAAACTGAATCAATGAAAACTTGCCTGCCAAACAGGTGCTCATTGCTGGCAAAGTGATGCCAAGAGAACTTGTTGTAGATCTACAACTAAATTTGTATGTTTGCTGCAGAACTTCACGTTTGGCTGTGATCGGCTTGTTCCCGAGTTCTAGCTTGTGTTTGGCTCTGCACCTCAACCTCATCTTGAGCATGGTTACTTTTTTGTTGTTGTTCTCATTTAACATGCCTAGCATTTTTGGAGATTTCAGTTCACGTTAAGGTAGTGTGATCATTTTGTGTGTACACAAAGATAGTAATACATGCAGAATCACAGAATTGTTGTGGTTGGAAGGCACCTCTGGAGATTGTCTAGTCCAACCCCCTTCCTCAAGCATGGTCAGCTGGAGCAGGTTGCCCAGGACTCTGTCCAGTCAGGTTTTGAGTATCTCTAAGGATGGAGACTCCACAACCTCTCTGGGCAGGCTGTTCAAGCACTGTCACTATGAAAAAGGTTTTTTTTTTTAACGTTCACATGGAATTTGCTGTGTTTCAGTTTGTGCCCATTACCTCTCATCCTAGCACTGGGCACTGCTAGGAGTCTGGTTCTGTCTTCTTTACACCCTCCCATCAGATACTTATAAACATTGATAAGACTCCCCGTTCTCTTCTCCAGGCCAAACAGTCCTAGCTCTTTCAGCCTCTTGTATGACATGATGATCATCGTAGTGATTCTTTGTTAAATTCGTGTCTTTCTTGTACTGGAAACCCCAGAGCAAGAATTAACATAGTCACAGACCCACAAGAGATTGGAAAAATAGGCTTACTTGTGTCAACCACTATATTTATTTTAAAAGAAAGCCATCGTTCTAAGCCATTTTGAAATTATACTGTAGGTGCTTCATCACAGATATCAAAAAAATGGTTTATGTTACCTATTCAATTCACTTGCGAATATTCAGTGTTCTCTAAAAAGCACTCTAGAACACTGATACGTGTTCTACTTCCATTGTACTTGTTTCTAGAATTTTGAGGCCCCCTGCACGTCTGACTCATACCAAGAAGATGAGGACATAAAGTCTGTCCAGAAGGTTAGTAATGCTCAACACTAAAGAGTTCTGAAACTCTTGGCACAGTGATGGCTTGTTCTTCAGTCTTACTTAGTATTTTGTGTTGTTGATATGGGTTTTTTTAATTATTCCTACAGAGCTTTGAAATCTTTCCACCCCTTCAAGACAGTCAGAACCCAGAAACAGATGAAGAGGTTAGTAATGCTTTAATTTAACACTTCTAAGTTGTAGTAAAAATCCACAGCACTGAGGTTGTGTAGCTGGGCAATTCCATGACCTTTCCTAGTATTTTGCATTGTTTGCTTATGAGCTACATTTCAAAAAATGTGAAGTGTTTTTTTCAAATACTAAACAAACTTGCTAAAGTACTGCTAATCAGGAACTTTCTGAGAAAGGAAGATTGCCTTTCTGTTATTCTCTGCAACATAGAGGGCCTTCAGACTTGCTGACGTATTCCAGCTATCTCATTTTCCATCCTCTAACTTTCAAGTTGGAAAAGAGACTTTTTTTTTTTTTTTTTTCTTTAAGAAACGCCTGTCAGGAAACTTGCAATCTATGTAGCAAAAAATAGGACAAAGTTTCTGGATATTAGGTAGAAAGGTCATAAACTGATCTTCCTTCTAGGACGTCTTTTGTGGACTCTTTACAGTGGAGGATGTGCAGAAGGTTCTCGTGGCTTTGCATTTGCTGTACCAACTTAAAATTTCTCATGCCTCATTTTTAGTCAGTTTTAACACAGCATCATTAATGCGAAAGTATCTTTTTCATGAACAATTCATAAGTGATGACTTGCAATTGATTTTGTATGTGCAAATTTTTTTCATTGTAGATGCAGATAGTTGAAGATTTGCACGTTGCTCGCGTTCAGAAGAGGATGGCGCTCTCTGTAGTACAGACTTGTGGAGAACTTACAAGTATGGAAATAGATCTTCCAGAACAGGATTTAAATATTTCTGCTGGTATGTCATGACTTGATGTCCTTTAGTGTCTACTTGCAGGTAGTTACTACAGTTGCAGGACATGGTTTAGGGGGCTTGGTGGTGTTGGGTTGATGGTTGGGCTTGATGATCTTAAAGGTCTTTTCCAACCTTAATGATTCTGTGATTCTGTTTGTTAGTGGCCTCAGTAGAGAGTACACAACTGTTGTTTTTTTTTTTCACAACTGTTGGGTGTTTTTCCTCTCTTTTTTTCCCCCAGATGCTTTTACTTCTGGTCTGAGCATTTTAGTGGTGATTGACACAAATATAATGATTAGTCACCTTGAGTTTGTCAGATCCCTGAAATCTGAGGATATAGCAGGTATGTGAACCTGTATGGTGATTGATAAGACATTTTAGGAAAAAAGAGATTTTTTTAAGAACTTCAGGCTACATGAAGAAAAACAAACGTGGGCTCCTTATAAAGGCAGCAGATTTCCTATAGAGACAGAAGGCTCACCCTTAGGGGGCTGGTTCTGTGAGCCCAAAAAGGCTGCCTCTTAAGGACAGTCCAGCTATGAAAGTAGAACCTGCTGTGCTTATACCTATGTACCTACAGAGCATCATGGTCAACATTTCCAGGAATGTGCATTAATTCTTAGAGGTAAACAAGTCTTACCTATTGTAAGAACATACTTTCAAGCATTTAGTCCATTATCAGTGGTAATTATGTTTTCTACTCTCTTTTTAGCATTTTTTTTACTAGAAATCTAAAAACATTTAAAATCTGATAAGCGATCGGTCAGCGCTTTAGTTCTGTCTTGTTAAAGGCCATAGAATTCACGGGATGTGTGAGCAGTTTCTCAGGAATTCAGACTGCAGACCCTGGATTTAATGTTTGGCTTTGCTATGTTGTGAAGCTTCTAGTGATTTAATGTTAGCAGGATTAGGATCGTGCGTGTCAGTTGTTGGTAGACATATTTGGAATCTATCAGAATACTTAGAGTGCTTTGATGCCTTCAGCTGGTGAATACACTTATTCCGACCACCTGGAAAATAACTTTAATAAGAGCCTGAGTAATTTTCAAGAGTGTGTCAGCCTGTATTTCTCTTTCCCCTATTAGGAATGGTGTTGCATTGTGTACACTGGGAGCTGCAGTCTCAGATGCCTTTTTTAGACTATTGCAGCTCCCAATTTCTGGTCCTGCACCAGACTCATTATGCAAAAGGTTCAGAAGGTTGCTGATTCCGGACCTGTTTATTACAAAGCAGGTGGACATTAATGTTTTTTTTCAAAATTGACTGTACAGAATGGTCATTAAATTTCTGATTTACTGTGTATTTCATATATAATAGTTTTAAAGTTCAAACCGTATGTAGTGCCAGTTGGAGGTTAGATTAGAAAGAGGGAACTTGGCCTTTTTCAGTTCATTTTTTCATGCTGGGTACTCTTGAGCATGGAATATGAAAACTACTGGCAAAAAAGTTAAGTGCAAGCTTACATGAATATGATGTTTGAATTAAAAGTTAAATGCAGTTTGCATGACTTTTCAAAATGTCTTTTGTTTTTTCGTTGGTTGTTTTTTTTTTTTTCCTTCCAGGGGTTGGCAGACTTGCATTAATAATTCCCTGGGTCGTTCTACAAGAGCTGGACAACTTGAAGAAGGGGAAAATGTTGCAGCATGTTCGGGACAAAGCTATCCCTGCAGTCCAGTTCATTTACACGTGTCTCAAAAACCAAGATTCAAAACTGTGGGGGCAATCCATGCAGCTTGCTTCTCAAAAAATGTGTAATATATGTGCAATCAATTTGTTTGGGGTACTTAATCCTTGCAGTTCACCTAGTCTGAACCTTAGCACTAAATTTGGAGTTTAACACAGTCTTCACTCTGCAGTTTGGTCATTAAAATTAGCTAATATCCTACAGCAGCCTTCAGAGCATATCCAGGGCTTCAGTATCCGATTACCTTACTCAGATTAGTGCTTTGTTCACTATTGTTTTATCAATTGTTTCTTGCTTTTTAGCTGCATCTGTTGATAATTGGGGATTACTTAATGAAAATTCATCTAGTTACCACTTTTACATATGAGCCAAGGATATGTTGTGTGCTTTTGCTTTTGACTTGGTCATTACAAAATCTAACACATTCAAATTTATGTGTGGCTCACTTGATGTTTTCTGGCAAAACCATAGCTTTTTTGAGTGGAGTAGTACCTAAGAATTCAAAGCTCATATTTGTGCTTAGATTACACTTCTCTATCCTTGTTTGGGGAGTATTAAATTTAAAAACAGTACCATGACTACACACACTGAAGTATTTCTTACGCCGAGTTACTTCTGAACGTCAGCACTGTCGTAACTAAATTTGCAGATGGCCTGAGTGACGAGAACAATGACGATCGTGTTTTGCAATGTTGTCTGCAGTATCAGAACCTCTTTCCTCAAGCTGTTGTCATACTTTGCACGTGAGTTCCTGTGTGGTTTTAGGTCTCTTATGAGGTGTAAGTTAGTCTCATGCCAAATACATTCCATTCAAATCGTGTCTTAAAATTAAGAGCTGCTTCTGAAGAAAGCTTTTTGAAGAGCAATCACCTTCTTAAAAACTAGAGTTGAAGGATATAATAAAACACAGAGATTGTAATCACCATCATGTGCTTGAGGCCTGAAGTAGAATTAAGTTTACTCAATATTCAATTTTAAAACTTTTTAAAGCATAGCTTTCTCAGATCTCCGTGATGAACACTGTCAGGGGTTAATCTTAGAAAGAGGGAAGATGGAGATAAATTTGCCTCTGATGTGTGCACTTTCAATTGCAGTATTGGTAGGGCTGTTGATAATGATTTTAGGTTTCTCTGGGTAAAGAACAGGAGATGACTTCAGAAGTGCTTTTCATCTGAAAAATCCCTTTATCCTTTATCATTATAAGCAATGGAAATTTTGGAGAAAGTAGCAGGATCCATCCCTGTGCTGCAACTTTATAGTAGTTCCGCTGGAGCGGTGTATATCTCAGGGTGGCATTTGGGACAGTGGTCTAGCCAGTAGAACAGTAAAAAAGGATGTCAAAAATGAGGATTTATTGTAGCAACTGAATAAGATATTACTGTCTTAGAATCACTGCCTTGTTTGCCTTCTAAGATCATAGCAACTAGGCATCATTGCTGCAGTATTTATAGCCCTTTTTTTCTTAAAGCAAACCTGGAGCCTGAAACATTTTTCACTATGTTTCTATTTTTTTTCAAAATAGGTGCTTTAGTTAATTTTCTGGTTTCATTTTTTGAACTGTTTCTAATTGCTTAAGAACAAAAACTGCGTATATAATGAAGCTCACAAAATAAGCCTACCGAAGACAGTTTTTCCAGTGTGTTGCTTTTATTACTTACCATGTAATAATGTCAAGTTTGTCAACAATTAGTTCTCTTCTCCTAGGGATGATAAAAATTTGTGTAATAAAGCCATTGTGAGTGAGGTCAAGGCGTTCTGCAAAGCTGATTTGGTTACTGCTCTACAGAATCTGAATGTAAACAGGCATCAGAACTGTGTTGAGCTGCAACAGTCAAAACGTGGTAAGATTTTTTTAATGTGCACATATACATATGCTGGCTTTTGAGACAAATAACAACAGTGTAGGAGAGGGAGAATGGCTTCTACATAGTTTCTACTATAACTTCAGTTTTCATATACTTTGAATCCTTAGGAATGGTTTGGGGGGGGCAGATTTTTTTATTTTCAAAGGCAAATGGTTTTCTGACAGTTTAAGACCTTTATTAAAATATCTGTCTCTTAGAGTTCTAGGAAATTCAAATATGATATATTTTTCTTTTATAGGAAAAAAAAAAACCCAAACCACAGTATGACTGTATTGTGTTTATAGTCCTTTAAAAGGTGTTCTGAGCTTTTCAGGACTGCAGATAGGTTTTTCCAGTTGAGTTAGTTTGGGTCCTGTTCTTAGCAGGTGTAAAATTTAATATGCTGTGAGTGATAAGATCACTCCCTTACATTTTATGCTAATACTTTTACTTGCATCCCAAACAGCAGAACTCGTTTCATGGGTTGCCTGTTCATTTTTTAAAGATACAAATATAGCTTACAGTATGAAGAAGTGATCTTCTTATATTTGCTGATAACCCCACTGGCTGTATATAATCTAAGCTGTTTAAGGAAAAAAGAATTGTGGAGTAAGATCGCAAATGAATAATGCTCTGGGGAAATTAATCTTGGTTAGTAGCTCATAATTAAAAATACCCACAGTACAAGTGGGTATAACTAGAAATACTTGAAATCTAATTAGACGTAGCCCATCTGCTTTATAACATGAAGTGCGGTCTGTATTTATGGGAACCAGCTATTTGTGTACTATCAACATGAATTAGATCTAGAAACAGTTGCAATAAGTACTTTTATTATCATTGGTTTGACAGATACCGAATTTGAGAAAACAGAAGGAGGTGATGCTAGTCTTACTGCGCGATTCCCAAATATACTTCCAGACCTTGAGAGGAACTTGGGAGAAGCTTTGTCTTGTATTTTGGAGACTGAAATGAAAATTGCGTTTGGAAACCTGTGGATGGAGGTGGTTTCTTATGTCATCTTGCTTGATATTTCAAGTATTAAGAGGTCTAAATGTCCGTCATATTTTCATGGCATTAGTCGCTGTGCTAAGCCAAACAGCCAAGTCATCTGGTTCACTCACGTAACAGTTCACTAACAGTGAACAGTCCGGTGTTCAGTTTTACTATTTCATTTTATAACAAGATTCTTCTATTTGACCAGTAATGACTGTGCGGTACTTTAATAGTCTTTCAATAACACAGTAACAGAGATGCTGGCTGTTCAGTGTGAATTTTCAGAACTCTTTGTATTAGTTGCATTGAAATTTCTATTTTGGCTTTTCTAATATGGTTAAATCACTGCATTGTAAACATGTTCTTCAAGAAATTATTCCATCACGTTTTGTATAATATTGAGACACTGTTGTTGCAGGCATTTCTTGCCCATCAGAACAGATGTTTTTAGATACCATGTGGATAAAATTGTTCACAGCTAAATTGGTTATAATGCAGATACAGAATTACAAGGGTGTTAAAGAGAAGCACCAAACACTCACCCTTTCAAAAGTATTGTTAACAGAAAATTAATACTCATGTACAAGGGACTTAGAAATTATCCATGCTTTGGTTTAGATTCCATTTTATAGCTGGTAGGAATTAGTTAGAAGTTTAAATTTCTTGCAGATAAGCCTCTGTGGCTTTTTAAGAAAAAAAGAAAAAAAAGAGTCATTTGTATAGGATGACTGTAGTTCCACAAGATAGAGCTTTGATTAGCTGTTAAGCTTTTAGGCACTTCTGATTAACTTAGTTGATTTCTGTTAGCACCTTCAAACTGTGATTTCACTTGGTAGTAATAAATTTCAATTTTATTGCAATATGCATATGTTACTTCATTTGTGTATAGTCACAGCTAGGAAAAGTGTGTTTATTTTTACTTTTTTAACAATACTAGAAGACCAAAGGCACATTTACTGTTGTTCTGGCTTTTGTATACAAGTAACACATGAAATCAATTTAGGAGGTAACTTTGGGGATATTTGGAACGTTTGAGAAAAGAGGAACCAAAAATCACAAAAATGTTGAAAGATTGTTATTGTACACTGAATGTGAGCATCTCAGTTTAACCCATGATGCTGTTGAATCAAATCTTTTTTAATAGATAAACTTGTTAAATCTGAATATAGCCTTATTTCTGAGGCATCATTGAAATTCTACTTCAGCAAGTACAAACCATAATGTTATTGAAGAACAGAGCTGTTGTGAAATCTGCAGGAACGTGTCTATATGAAAATCAGCCTTTGAATTTATAACATACTGTCTTTCAGATACTGTATCTGAAGCCACCGTGGACATTAGCAAACTTGCTGAAGTGTTACAAAAAGCACTGGATGGCTGTTTTTGGTCACATTGTGCCAAGAAGTCTACTTTCAACTGTTGAATGTCTCTATAAACACCTTTGTGCAGGTAGGAATCTCTGAGACTGTTAATTGTAAACTTGTAGAAAACCTTAGTGTTCTGGTTTTAGTAGTTACAGAAGTAGTCACTTGGAAAAGGCACGTACTCTGTATATTTAAACAGTGATGTGTTCCATCCTCTTCTGCCTTTTTTTAATTTAAGATCACCCAATGGAGCTGTACCTTGGACAGTCTTACGTACTTTTGTATTGATCCATAATTTATTCCTCAGATGGGTGACAAAATCCCAACACTGTTTTTGTAGCCTTAAAGCCAGAATTGAACTGCAGTTGATGAGCTGTGAATTACATTAAGAAAAAAAAAAAAAAAGCAAAAATAAAGCTTGAGCCAAGATCAAGTCTGTCCAGACTCTGGTCCCAGGTGGTCTAAATATCACCTGCACAAATCACAAAAAATATTTCTGAAATGTTTCTTTTTTCTTTTTGGCAAGGTAATTCATTATTCAGATGTCTTTTTTTCTACTTTTTATACAAAGACAGTAACAGCAAATGTATGGATGCTATCAAGCACGTAAGAATTTATTTTAGACATCTCTATGTACCTGCAAAACTCAGAGGAAAACCATTTTAATGAAAATATATCTATTAATGGTCACCAAAGTCTCTGAATTATTTTTAAAAAGCAAATAATCTTTCTCCCTCCTTTGCCACCATGTGATGTGTGCCAAGATGATCTGCATTTGCCAAATAAATTATGGCAGAGTAAAGACTACTTAATGTGATAGATGAGGGCAGGGAGGTTTGTTTTCAAAAAAAGCCAACCAAAAAAACCCGCAAACAACCACCCTTTTATTAAGAATTTGATTTTACCAGCTATACCTTTTTTGCGATATTGCTGTTTTGCAGAATTATTTTAGAATTATTTAGAATTATTAGAAATATTTAT